AACTCTTCAGTAAAAATGTGAAAAATATCCATGGCTTCAAAAGGATGTACATGACACGCAATTGTTGGAATTCTGGGCACCATTAATAGTTGTTTGGTTACCTACTGACCCATATTCACAGAGAGGATTTTTTTTAATAATTACTATTACTGTTAGAAGATAAAATAAATGATAAAGGGACATGTTGTAAAATTTCTAAGCCCACATATCTCCTCCATATTCTGGAAGCTTTGCCTATCATTCTTATTTTACTGTAGGTTGATTGATTATGTGCTGTCAGGTTGGTGTCAACTCTTAGCAACCACATAGACTTATTTTAGGACAGCAATGCAAAGAAAAATGAGCAAGTGTTTAAAAAGTAACTGTGTGGTTATTCACTGTTACACTAAGCCTTTAATAAAAATGTCTCAAAAATGGAATTTCCTGCCTGCAGATCTTTTTTCCACTTCATTAATTGTTAGTGCAAGGAACATACAATCATAAAAAAATACATAAAAATATTTAGGAAAAACTCAGAAAAACTAGTGGCATGCCATGCTAGATGATACCATGGATTACTTGCTAGTTTAGATCCCCTCCCCTCCCCCCACCCCGCATTGAAATAAAATAGAAATAAATTGGCTATCACAATATTTTCATTAGAGCACAAAATGACATTAAGGCAGCCTAGGCAAACTTATCCAGGCAGCTCAATTGGTTTGCTGTTCTATAAATTCCTTAATGTTGGAGGATTAAGTTTATACAACATTACTCTTATTTAGTAACCCCTATCAACTGAAGATGTTTTTAATTTAAGTTAAAGCTGAAAAAAGGGAGCAGAAAAGCTTTTGATAGAACTGCTAAGGCCCCAAACAATTGAAAAATAAACCTGTATTTCAGAATACCAGATAGAAAAGATATCTTAGCTCTATAGCAACTTTTGTGTGATAAGACACAGAAATTAGATCAGAAATAAACTTAAAAATTCTCAGGCTGAACATAAAGAATGTTGAGGTTTACAACTGTTCCATAGCAATAAATAATACAATCGCCTCTAAAGCTGAATGTCAGTGGCTCCGTGCTGATCATTTTCAAATGAAATAGGGCAACCTATAAACAAACAAAATATTTCAATGCACTGAGAAGAAATTTGAGGTATGGAAAAGTCCATGACATTTAAAAATACATAGCACCGTTTGAGATAATGCATGCAGGTCCTCAGCTCATATAGCTCTTTGCATTCCATAAGCTCTAGGCTCAGAGCAAACATATGCACCATTAAAACAAACAGAAGACAGAAGCACCCCCTTGAATACAATGATTTGCAGATTTGATTTACAATTTGTATTCTCCAGAAATGCTTGAAGACTTAATAAAGTTTAGAAACATGAAGGACAATGTAACATATAATCTAGTTTGAAAGATGTATTCTAACAGAAGAAAAGGTGAAAGTCAGCTAGATCCAGCTAGAGCAGGGAGGGCTATTTAGACACACAGATTTGTGTGGAAGGGCTTAATCCATTCAGAACATGTACATGTACTGATCCCTTCATAAATCTAGAAATGGCTACGGTTTTGTCTATGAGAGGGAGACTGTCCAACAACAGTGAGCAACTGTCTAAAAACTTGAAGGAAGAAAATCATTGGCCAATGGCATTGAGCCAGATCAAGTAATCAGCTACCTTGGCAACGGCTGCCTCAGAAACCGTGCCTTTTAGGGGGTTGGCACAGACCTACCCCTGCTCTTGTCCTTTTATATCCCTTACAAAACAGAGGAAACCATCTCCTTGGTACTTCCTTTCACACTCATTCCTAAGATCTTCCATCTGGATGAGAAGCAGGTCCTGGACTGCAGTGGGAAACTGATTGCACATCTTTCCCCCCAGTTGTCCCTGAGACTGGAGCCCTCATTACCAGGCCAAATTGGCATTCCATCGGAATCAACTTGGCACTTCTTATGAGGTAGGGAAAAAGGAGGAAAAGCAAATCTCTCTTCTTTGATAGCATTTCTTTCTTCAGCTGTGCCCTTCCTCAGTGGGAGAATGCCACCCACTGGTTAAGGCTGCTGGATTCCTTCATTATTAGGCTACCCAAAAACACAAGATAAAGAAAATTGGGCTTTCTGCCTCTTTCCACTATAGACTACAAAATCTGGCTTGTGTAGATAAATCATCAAATTACCATATTATGTTTGACTACCAATTTATCTTCCTTAGCTCTAAATGGGTTTTAGACATTAGACAGGAAGGCTTAATAGTAGACAACTTGTCATATTTAAAGTATTTAAAGTATTTTAATTTTACTTATAAGAATTCCTATTCCATTCTAAGATCCAAAGCATACTCTTTATCCAAGTATCTGTTGTAGAAAAATTACTCTTCAAAAAAAAAACACACACACAGCACAGAAGAGATGATAGAATGGGAAGGGAGAAAGCATACAGGAAAAATAAAATTATTTATCAGCTGGATTCAAATTATGTGTTGATTTAGTTTAAGACTAGGACTACTGCATTGTGCAAACATGAAAATCCAGTCAACAGTGCAGCAGGACAGGGTCAATTTTAGCTCAAGCTAGACCCAAAATTGTTTGGAGTTAAACTTGGGCTACCATATCTGGTTGTAAAAATCTAGAAATCCATGAGATGACAACAAAGAATTAGAGTCTCCATACCTATTTTCTGTGGTAATCTAGATTTCTGCAGCTTTACTATGGTGACCCTAATTAACTTGAGATACTTCTGCCTTCTGGCTGCCTGCACTGAGATACAAGCCAAAAGCAGCCTTGAAGAAGTCCTGTTCTCCAAGCATACCATCTCTTTGGCTTTTATTTTTTATCCCCTCCCCTCAAATGCGTAGAAGCTCACTTTCAGCCAGTCAGTTTTTCCCAGTACAGGCTATATATCCCACCAAGCTGTTGTGAGGAAAGGAGTATATAAATTTCCTTGAGCTCTTTGATAAATGATGTAAATCCAAAGGATGTAAATGGGTGCAGAAAGGCACTGGAAAACTAAATCACCCTGCAATATCTCTGTGATACTTCAGACCGCAATCAGATCACTGTGGAATTTTTAGTTTTTCACTAAAATGTAAAAAAAAAAGAAAAAAAGCCAGCTTTGATCCACTGATTATTTGCTGCTGTATCCCCAGGTAAGTCATTTACCCAGCAGACTAGTCCAGTATGCTATACAAACACAGCCACTGTAGTCAGCCTCAGTTTGAGGATTTCAAATCCTCAAAAATCCAAACCTCAGGTGCAGTTGATGTCATCTCTTTGCTTCTGCTCCATGTTCAATACTAGCTAACATTTCTACTTATGCTCCTACTTTCAGTAACTCGAGATACAAGCACTCACTAATTATATAAGTGGATTTTCGGACTCAAAAGCTTTGCCAGAAGCTCTTTTCACATCCTTCCAATATGTGATAATGAGCCTCAGCAGGTGCTCCCCCCTCACATGACTTTGTTTTGCTAATAGCTAACAATCATAGAAGAAAACACATTATATAACTTATTGCTACATTTGCATTTAGGGAAGCCATACAGGAACACAATAATGATAAAGTTGCTTTACCAACAAACTGAAGTTTAAACATTTTAGGATAAGCTATTTAGGATACAAATGTATGGGAGACATTTTATTTTACATTTGTACATTTTGCCTTTAAACTCTTTACAATGACCCTTCAAAAAAAGGTATGGCTCACTTTTTATCTTTTCTAGATTGGCAATTAAGAATGGAAACAAATAATTACATATGATCTGCTTAATGAAGAACATAAAATATTTAAATTAGCATTTAATTCTGCAAGATAGAAATCCAGTTCTCACTCATGCATTCCTCATCTGAAACATTTTGGAGAATAATTCACATAAACATACACAAAGAGTCATATATGTATACAAATACTATGCTACTAAAATGTATTGATACCAATTTAACAAGAGGCATAATTATAATGTCCTTTTAACCTAGGTACATCTGCAGAGCACATGAAATGATTCATTCCTTTGTACCCTTCAGATCTGTTTCACCTTGAATTCTATGGATATGGATATGGAATGGAGCTCCTTCGTAGCTACCGCTCTGCCTGTCCCCATTTCCATGATTCCAATAGAAGAGAATATATGCAGCTCAGGTTGAACTGTGGAGTCCTTGGTGCTCTCCAAGCTTGGTTGTTTGTTTGCAAACATTTCATTACCCAACTAGGTAACATCATGAGTGCTAGTGAATGTGGGGTTTGCTCTTGTTTATATATTGTAGCTTGCCCTGCCAGTGGGGGAACATTAGGCAAGCAATCAAGCAGAAAACAATACCCCAATCAAGGAACTACTAAGGAGAAAACCACACCCCACCAACATCTAGTCGGGTAATGAACCATATGCAAGCAAACAACCAAGCTCAGAGAGCACCAAGGACTCCACATTTCCATGCTTACTCAATGAACCAGAAGCCATAACTGCTCCAAAAATTCTTGTAGAAATACAGCCAACTGAACAATCAGCAGAAAGAATAGCTGATTACTGATCAATTTTCATATCTCAGCTGCTATCCTAAAATGGCATTTGGTAGAATTCAGCACATCTAGTACCAGCAATTCATATAAGAACTGTAGTATGTTCATCTTGGCATATACATGAGCTTTGATATGTACAATATTAAAAAAAAAAAAAAAAAGCCTTTGACTTCCTTAAAACATAGAAGGCTCTTAGGAGCCCACTGGAATTATCATGCCCAGGGAGCAAAAACATTGGTTTGTATTGATCTGGTACCTCTGATATTAAGGTAATACAACATCTATAGACAGAGACTAGACAAAGTTTGACTGTTTCTCATTCAATAACTACAAAACACAATCACACCAGGGATTCAGTACCTATTTGGATCATTCATCTGAGTCATAGCACCGATGGCCAGCACTTTAAATGCCTTTACCAAATGAACTCACCATCATTCTTCAGGAGAACAAGTTGCAAAATATTAGACATCAAGCTATGAACAAAATGCAAGACGTTACTTACAGCCGTGACAATGCCTGGTTATTCTGGAAGAGGAGCTCTGGCAAAGTGTGCAGCTGGTTCCTATTCAGTCGTCTAGAGAAATGGAGGGTGGAGAAAGAAGGCATCATAAGCATTCATGGATACACTAGAAGCAGGAGGACTTCCTCAACCCAATGATATTACAGTAGTGACTACATGTTGCAGTTCAATTTTTTGTCAGTTTTCTGCAAGATATCCTTGAAATGTTAAGGATAGGATGGAGTAATGCCTCTCTGCTCTTGAGTAATAAGTGTCTTAGTCCATATTTGTTCATCTCCCCATGCAAATGGACAGATATGTGGAACAAAGCATGAAAATTAGGCAAGGATTACTAACACAAACCCTGTAAAACATCTATAATGAAATATCCTATTTTACCAGTGATGTAGTACAACTGTCAGCATAACTCCTGCTGTCAAAGCCAGTGATTTCCACCCAATACTCAAATTATATGGGGAAATAGCCCTTACAAATGCCAGGATTGCCCTCTTCCTCTGATAATCCAAACACTGGTTCCATAGCACTTCTGAATTAGACGCCAGTGGCATGGCCTAAACAGGCCAGTTGGTAAATGCAGTCTTACAATCCAAACCCTACAAAAGGAGCAGGGCCTGGACTGTGAAACTGCATCTGCCGTCTTGCTTCTTTGGACATGCCCACCCCCCACCCCATCAATGCTGCTGCGAGAGACTCCTACTATATTTACAAAGAAGATTTTAATACCATAGGTTGACAATAATTAGTATTTGTCCTGTGTATATCTTATCCAATACAACAGTGTTGGATTCAGATTCAAATTCCAATACATTTCAGTTTTCTACTCAAGTTTCATGCTCTCAAAATCTCATAGCTTTCTGTTTTTGACATACTTTTCAGCAAATTACTCATTTTAGCTTCAGCATGTGTTTGCAGATTTAGAAGGTAAAAAATAACTTTGATGAAAAAGCTAATCACCAAATATTTTAAATAGAAATGTTGGATATGAAATGGCTGTCTGCATGTATAGTTTTAGTTTCCATTATTATTCAGATTGCAAAGTATGTGTATTTTCAAAATATACTTTTGGAACTATGATCAAGACTGAAGAGCAGAGAAAATTAATGATGCAAGAAGAGCAAATAAAATACTGAGTCATAGAATAGCAGCACAGAGGCAGAATGGTTCTCTAGCTTTTTTCTAGAGGAGGATGGGGGGGATTAGAAGAATACAGAAATAAGGAAAAAAAACTAGTGTGACACAGAAAACCCATCCAGAAGTAAACAGAAAGCTTTCATTGTCTATAGTACTTTAGAGATGGCATGTCTATATTAAAAGAACTTAAATGGTGACAAGTTCTAAGGAATAGTGGACGTCAGTCAGCATTGCACTGGGTCTATTCTATTTTTCTGAGAGTGGCAGAGTTGGGTAACTGATTGTTCAAGGAGAGAAGCAGCAAGTTTTGCAAGTGGTGTTTTTTACAGTTGCTGTGAAGAAAATATGCAGATGTTGCTTAGACAGGTTTGTGCACTGTCTCTGACTGGATGCTTCTTGCAGAAAATTATTTTGGACCTGAAAAGAATGGCAAACAGATTGAGAAGCATCTGGGTATAAATGCCAGCCAAACTGTTCAAGATGAGTGTAAAAACACATAAAGCTTGCACCATCTGCTCATGTGAGCACCAGGGTGGGGGCAGAGAGAAATTATTCTTGATCTAGGTAATGGAATTGATTGCCTTTGACCATAAGGTGTATTCTTCCTATCCCTACTTAATTCCACTTCTAAACTATCAAGGATCAGGAAGCCCAACGGGAACATTAACTTATGCCTGTGAATGCACTGTTTAGTAGAGAAGAAAAAGTAGAGGTATCTGCTAGGAAATCACATCTCCTTTTTGTTCTCTGGCATTTTTCCCACCACCAGCTTTCATAGCACATCCAGAGCCCTGAGACACTCACAGCCGTTCTAGTTCTTTCATGTCGTCAAATGCTCCTCGTTCCACCACATTGATCTGGTTTTCCATCAGCTGCCTATAAAAATGACACAGGAATCAGAACTTGGATAGCTAAAAGGAAAAGCAGGGGGAGCAGGAGGATAAAGGGCACTTACTACCCTAGTTAGTGGAATTCACGCTTCTTGGCTTTGTATGGGAGCGTGCATCTTCCTTGAGACAGGGACCAATCCTCCTATGGGACTAGGCCCACTGTCAACTAAAGGGCATGCTTGACATAAGCTTTCAGAGATACTGAGACAGAGGAGGGAGCAAGGTGATTATGTTGTTGGGGGAAGATCACTCACAGAACTCTCAGCTGCTTCAGCCCAGCAAAGTCATGTTTACTGATCCGAGTGATGTTGTTTCCATTCAGCTCCCTGTGAAAAGAAGGAGAGACATGTTAGCAGTGAAAAGATATGCAAGGCTGCAGAGTGCCAGGTGCAGTCTCAGATCCACACTCCCCAGCAGAAGCTCCCCACCTGATGCTCTCAAAATGTGTTGGCTGGAAATGAGGCCCAAGGCTGGCTAAAGAAAATGGAGGCACCAAGCTGGGGAAAATTATCATATAGCAGTTCAGCCATAAAGCAAGTCATTCCAGAGAGTTTCCGTTCTAGGTTATTTATTGAGCTAGTTCATAAACTTGAGATTCCTCCTGAACTATGACATTTTTGGAAGCAGCCCTCTCTCCTCTACCTTTTTCTTCCCGAAATAGTTTATCTCATTCTCTTTCCAGTCAGTACTCTGTATTAGTCCCTTATGAAATGGATTTCATAATCAAGAGATATTTTGAAAAAGAGCACCTTTCAGAATTTCTGTTCTTCTGTCAAGACTGCTACCACTGTCCAGTTTCAAATTAACATAATTTGACATAAATTATGTCATAACATAAATTAAGGGAGGGCAGAAAAATAAAGAATATTAGGTCTGCATATATCAGAGAGGCATTAGATGGGACCTGAGATTAACAGAAAGTAAATTTTGAATATATGTACATTTAGTAGGTGTGTTATTCAGAATGCAGCCGTGATGGAAATTTTCATACATGTTTAGGATGTTTGATGATGCCTTAGCACCCACAAGAGAATGAAGGAGAATGTGATATAAGGAGCCAATTGAGAAGAACATCTACACCAGCCTTTCCCAACCAGAGATCTTCCACCTGTGTTGGATTTCAGTTCCTCTGGCAGTGCTGGCTGATGGTTATAATTGAAGTCCAATGACTAGAAAAGGCACCAGTTTGGAGAAGGCTGCTCTATACCCACTAATTATTTGCACTGCTGAAGGAAAGGTGGAAACTGATTTTGTAGCCTGAGATGAACAGAAATTTGCACAGGAAAAACAATACCATTGTTAGCTTCTGATTTCAAAATCAACTAACTGCCCATAGATAGAGCGATGTTGCAGCAATTGCTTTACAATTATTCTTCTTGGCAGTTTCTCTAACAAGTAATGCATGTAGGCTTGCAGAGTCAACACTACAGATCAAGCTGCTCCCTTGAAAATAACAAGAATAAACCTCCAAGAGGCCCAACTGAATTGGCAGCCAATGGCTAATCAATGCAAAGATGGCCACTATACAACCCTAACTGTGCCATGCAGATTGCTAGCCTCCTTTCATTTTAGGACTGATTGGTGATGGTCAGAGAGGGTATGTTTCCTAGACACAAGGAAGCACTATGTACTAGATGGATGAATATGTGTTGTTCCTTGCCCTGGTATGTCAGATTGAAATTTACATTCATCTCTGCTGCAATTAAAAGATCTACAGCGATACAGTGAGTGACGTAATAGGAACCTGGGACAGCTACAGGCTAATTCTGTTCATGATTTGGATCTTACACTTCAAAAACAATAAATAATAGACGTGGTACAAGAATTTACATTTTGCAACCGTACTTCCCTTCCAATGCCTGAAAAGTAGAGCAGCCCAAACCAGAATGGCCCTATCTCTTCTCATTCCCAAAGGAATATGGTATCTACCCTTTTAAAAGCTCAGAGGCAAACAAGTACCATTAACAGAGCTGCAACTTCTCTCAACCCAGCAGAGCAGCAATAGGAAGTCACACCTGCTAAATGTTGCCTCGCCCCAATACTGGGAATGGATCAGATCTCCTAACTCTTTGAGGAATAAGGCTACATTTGCTATGAATGATAATAGCAGATTAAAGGCAATTAGTCAGCAACAGAAAGGAGGACAGCCACTCATTTAATGCCATTTAAAACAAGAAACAAAACAAAACCAGCAAGGCCCCTGGATAAAATTGTGGCAGGAAAAAGCGCCAAGGTAATTTTGTCCTCAGCCACACAGGATCATAATAACAGTTATTCTCTCCTTGCTGGCATGTTGTGAAGAGAAATTTAAGCCCTGCCAACAAGCTCAGAACCTCTAGAGAATGAGAACTGACAAGGACCTTTGAGAGAACGTCATCGTGGTAAAGACAACTGCTAGAGAGAGTTTGTTGCAGCTGCTGAAACTGTTTCAACGTTTATGCACCTCAGCAGGTGCTGGCAAACTGCACTCCTCAGACAGAGGAGGAGGAGCAGCCGCAGCCCTTCAGGATCCTGTGTTCGAGGGCTTTCTGGGGTAAACCAGCCAGCTTCAACAAAATGACTTCATCAGCAATTACCATTTATATTGCTTGTGGTGTCTAGAGGCCATCCTGGAGATGGGGCTATTGTCTTGGGTGCCAGTGTGCAGCAAAAGCACTGTCACACAAATGCCAGAGTAGATCACACAATCCCCCAATGCCACAGGAATTTGCATATTCAATTACAGAAGCACAACCTTTGGGCTCTGGGCTTTTGCCTGGGGCAATCGGTGTTAGAAGGGGATCGATAGATTCCTAATATAGTGGAACCATTTTGAAGGCTTAACACACACACACACACACACACACACACACACCGCTTTCTCATTTCAATGTAGTGACTAAGTGACTGCTGTCAGAGCCCCTCTCTCTGAAAAGCACCTGGCTATCAATTCAGTGACCATGCCAAGTAAATGCAGTGGTACTCCTGATTTTTGGCATGTTAGTACTGTAGAGAGCAAGTCCAGCCTATAGCTTCATGAGGGAATGTTTTGCTTGCTGCTTCCTTGTGTACTTAAATGTTAAAATGAACAGCTTTGAGTACTGGCTGCATTTGCCAAGGTTTTCCTGGCTCCACGAAGTGCTAGCAACTATGATCATATCTAGAGGAAGTCATCCTGGATGGTGAGTGTGTGTGTGTATGGAACAATGAAAGAAAGCTTGATCTCCCAACCAGAGGCAATTGCTGGGGAGAGGGGAGTAAAAAAGTCAAGAGGTTGGCCATGACTGGGTGATCAAAATCCTGCCCCTTTTTTAAATTGTGTTGCATGAAGCACATTAAAAAAGTGGGGGTTTGATTGTGCCACTGCTTCCAGCTCCAACCAGGAAAGAATCATCAAATGGGTATCAGCATTTCACAACTCTGCAGTATATGCAGACTAGGTATCAGCTGAGGGTACATAGTATATGTCACTTCCTCAACAAAACAGAGGTCTGAACTTGTGATATGTTCAGATTTCTTCCCTATTCTAATAGAGGAGGTTGTACTATGCCTTTATTTTCAAAGTTACGTAGACACCCTCCACCGCAGAGGGTCCCAACCTCTGTAGCTAGTAAGTACACATAATTTGGAAAACATGCCATAGGGGCCTCACAAAAAGATTGTCCTGGAGTGTGTCATCAGTCAGAAAGGCAAATTGGTGAGATTATCCCCCATGATGCTTTCTAGCTCTTTACAATTTCAATTTACCTTTGTCGTCTTTTGGGCATTTGGGCAATTTCCAAATAAATCATTGAGGTGTTCCTAATTATACTTTCTACCTTCAAAGGATGCCTCTGGGATCTGTGAAGGATCTGTAAGCAACCCAGCAACATTCTGAGAGATAAATATGCTGAATGCTAGCATTTTGCACTGCAGTGCGCTAATTGCCCCTTCATTTTTTGAAAATTAAAAGAATTTTTAAAAATAAAATCAAGTAGGGCAATGAGCTGGGGGCACCAAAGAAAGCATTGTTGGTAGGTTGGCATCCATGATGCCATACTGGGGACTAAGCCCCACTACATATATCTGTAGGAATATGGGTATTTAGATTTGGTCCAAGTTATCAACTTTTTTTTTCACCCATGCAAGGCACAACTTATTCCTCCCCTTTCCTACAGCACATGTCCATCATTTGTCATGGCCACACTAAAGCTACTGCTTCTGTAACCTCTGTGTTCAGAAGAATGAGGGACATGAGAACCAAGAATGGAAACAACAGCTGATGAAAACTTATTGGCAGTGAATCCACCACCACATAGCTACTTAACTCTGTTGTAGTCTTTCCACTTCCAGGTCCCCATCCATCCTCCAGATATTAATTATCTGCTACCAAAACCATGCTTAAATGGTATCTTTCTCCCTTGACTCCCTTTGGCTTAATGTGATTTGTGAACCTAGCTATTGTGGCTTGTATTTGGGAATTAGCATTATGTGTGAACCAAGTTACTATGATTTCTTCGTCAAGATACTGCTTTAAAAAATGGTGTGGATTCATGTGTACATTTCACATTGTCTCCTCTCTGCTACTGGAACATGCTATCTTGCTGACGCAGGCTTGTAATCAGTTTGCCTTGAAGTTAGTTAAGACAGGATGGTGATAAGAAACACTGTTCCTAATAATACTGGCCTAGCTGGGATGTAAATTTTAAGCAACGAAAACAACATCCTGGATGAAAAATGGCAATCCTATTACAGGTATCTGGACTCTGAAAATCAGTAGCATTTCAATGCACTGGAAAAAAATATTCACCCATTCTATCTACATACGATGAAACACAAAGGCTGTGTTCACACAAAAAAATTAACTAGGTCAGTTAAAGACCTAGAAGCTTCATTCACATAACATACTAAGCTTGGTTAGTGTTAACTTTGGGGGGGGGGGG